GCAATAAATTTACAAAAGCCTTAATTGAATATTTGTTTGAGCGTTTCCCAGAACGACAAAAATTCATTTGTAACTCATCAGTCATGAAAACATTCAAACTGTACCATATCAGATATATATTTTCCACCTGCTGTTGCTAGCCAGTTAATCACATTCAGAAAAAGAAAGTGAACAATTTAAATGTACACAAAGGTGTATAAATACATACATAAATATATAAGTGATTACTAAAAAATAAAATTTATATACGAGTAAAAGTTATACAAAAATAAAAGTTTATATTATATAAGTAAAAGTTAAATATTCTAATATTTAATTTTTCAATTGATTTTCGATTGATGCAACAGGAGTTTTAATTTAAAAGTTTTTCAATAATGTTTAAGTAAAACTTGCAAAAAGTGAGGCCATTTCTTCATGCTGACATTGCAACAATACAGCATTTCACTCTTTTATGTTACTTGATTTCTTGAATAAACTTTCTTCAGTATGACCTAATGGCATACGTTCTGTCAGATGTTTAATTTCTTTTATCGCAGAAGTTACAGATTTTACTAAATCTAATCAAATGAAATTGTTATAAGTATTTAAAAGAAAGACAAATTAATATATGTACTTTAAAAGATTTTTCACTTTTAAGTAGTTTTTCAATGGAAGACAATCGGTATTCAATTGACTGTGTGATTGGTGTAAGGGTGTGAGTGGAGTTTTCGGTGTGAGGGATTGGCAAGAACTCCTAAGATAACTCCAACAAAATATATTATAAATATATTATTAATATATCAACATAAACAATTTTAAAAATATAATTTTCTAGTTTAATTACATTTGTGCATATTTTAATTTAATGATCATTAATTATAATTATTCTACTTAAGAGCAAACTTACAATTACTGAAATAAAATTTACAAAAAGCTTACTGAAGGTAAATTTATTTCTTCAGGATCATTTGGTAATGACACGAAGCTTTGAGTAGATTTGCCTTGGTGTTGGATCTCTCGAAAAACGTTCTAATCATTCATCAAATTTTAATATCTAGTAATAAATTTAACAAATTTTAACTTAAAGTATTGCTATAAAGCAACATGTTTAATACTTACAGCATGGCGTGGTATTGGCAGTAATGGTTGGCTACGAGGTGCTGTTGTCTAAAATAGTTTTATATTAATTATTAAAACCTAGTAAAATTTTATCTAATTTAAGAAAATAAAAACTTACATTTGTTGATTGTAATCAATAAATGTAAGTCCATGTTTAAATAAATATTTTCGCTTTCACATTTAAAATAATTATTAAAAATTTTTTTCATTAACTTGTTTACGCTTTTAATCCACACGAAAGCACTATGACCACATGTGGGCCACATATACCTTTTTTGTCGGAAATGCTTCTTCTCCATTATGAAAGCAACTTACCAAGGAGAAGCCTTTTATTATATATGAGTTTTGTATATATTTTTTGCATATAATTTGAATGAATTCGAAATTCATTCAAATTATATGCAAAATTCATATAAAACTTTAAACATTTCTTGTGTTGCTATTAAAAAAATACTCAGTCCTGGTTTACAAAACAGGTTTAAAAATTGCCAAGAAGAGGGCATTGGGTTGTTATTGTAATTAACTTTTTTTGTAATTGTAAATAATTCTTCCTTGATATCATAAATTAAAAAAAAAAAATGGCATTACGTAAAACCTGATGCGAACGAAGTATGAACGTTAAAAATAGGCTTAATAGAGACAATGATTTTTAAAACTTCAAGATTAAAAAACTCGGGCTTGTGGAACTATACAAAGTGGGATTTCCTAACCCTATCATATTGAAAGGGTTTCTAAAAAATGTTTTGATCTTCCTACGCCACTACGTACATAATTCTCCGAGAAAAAAATTTGGGTCAAATAAAAGAAAAGTTCATAACTAATAATTTTAAAAACAATTTCTGATTTAACACATTAATAATAATAATATTATAATAATAATATAATAAATAATAATAATAATAAAATAATAAATTTTTTGCTGTACACATACAATGTGTGAGTCTAACATCTGTAGATGTTAAAACTTTACAGCCGTTGCAAAAGTTTTTTTTTTTTTACCTTTTTAAATATTATATTTTGGTTTTTTTTTTTTTTTTTTTTTTTATATTTTTATTTTGTTTTTTTCGAAACGATCAAACTTGTTTTTGAAGATGTTCACATTTTTAGAATTAATTATCTCCTCTGTTAAATTATTCCAATTGTTAACTATTCCCCAGTGGGCATTTCGACGTCGAACGAACGTCGAGCGACGTCGGATCTTGACGTCGGATCGACGTTGGGTTTACGTTGGAAATGGAAATGTTATTTGACGTCGGATAAACTGACATCGCGCGACGTCGGCATTCCGATGTAAATCCAACGTGTTTTTTGAAAACTAAAAAACGTTGCCTTTGGCAGGAACCGAACCTCGGTCTATCAGAAACTAAATCTTATGCGCTTACCACTACACCACGGGGACACATTATTTACTGCTTTTATTTAGTAATTTATACTTGTAGCTATTTGGGAATTATTACTTCGATAAGAAATAATTTTTTTAAATATTATATAAATATTAAAACGAATAGTTATATATTATAAAAAATGTATACTCGAAAATGTTAATAGTTTAAAAACTATGCTAGTGCATCATACAAAACCTCATGATGTTTTATCAACCATTATTCAAACTTCTTTCCATTAATAAAAAACACGCTTAGTTCACATATTTATTGAAGAGCGCAATTGCACACATATTGTTGGGTTTGGATTAAATTTTCATCAGCGATGTCTTACGACGTTATTCCGACGTCGTTTTAAGGACGTTGGATTAACGTCGGAAGACGTCAAAAGACATCGGAGTACGTTAATATTATGACGTTGCCCGACGTCTTTTTATCGACGTTGGATCGATGTCAGTACTGCGACGTTTTTTGGACGTCTTTTATAAGATGTCGGAACAACGTCAAAATACATCGAAACGACGTCAGGGGATGTTAAGATAAAGACATCGCCCGACGTCATTTTACTGACATCGGAACAACGTCGGAATAGGTCTTTTGACATCGCTGATGAAAATCGTACGTAAATCCGACGTCGGATTGACGTCGGGTGCCCACTGGGTCTGTTTGTAAGGAAGTTAAATCTTGTGGTAGAATGTGTGAATTGTTTTTGTATTTTCTGAGTATGACCTCTTGTTATTGCATATTTAATTATTTTAGGAGGACGATTCCATTTAACTTTATCCATATTTTTACTTATTTTATAAAATTGATTCAAATCGCCTCTTTTTCTTCTTGTTTTTAAAGTAGTCAAGTTAAATTTTTTTAGTCTATCTTCATAGGAAAAGCTTCTTAAACTATTTATTTGTGTAGCATCTTTTTTCAATTTTATCAATATCCTTTTGGTAGTTAGGGTTCCATACCAGCACCGCAAACTCCAGGTGTGGACGAACCAATGACGTGTATAAATGTTTCATTAAAATTTCATCAAATTGACAAAAAGATTTCTTTATCTGACCGAGCTTTCTATTAGCCCTTGCCGCAATTGTGTTGTCTAATTGTTCTATTAGTCCTTGCCGCAATTGCCGCAATTATGCTTTTCCCATTTGACGTCGTTTGATATTATTACATCAAGATCGCTCTCTAACGTGGTTTCTTCCATAACTAAAGCATTTTGCTGAATTAATTTGAAAGCTTTTTTAATTATTTTTAACAGTACCATAAATAAATCTTTACCCTCCCTTGAATAGCAACTATTCATACAAAAAAAAAGTATCATTTTTAAGAATTATTTTATGACAGATAATTGACTACTCCAAAAGTTACTACTATTTTCTTTGAGTTTTCTAATATTTTTTTTTATTTTTTTACATATAAAAAAATCTTCTTCTGGAATAATGTAACCAGATAATAAATTTAAAGATGGTTCTTTAGATACCTAAATTGTTTTTTAGACACCTTGGTTCTTTAGATTCCTTGAAGGTACTTGATTTCTGCAAGGACTACAAATTTAAAACGAAGAAATCTAGATTAAACTCACCTGTTTCTTAAAATTTCATTTGCAAGTAATTGTAAAACAATTGCAGCTGATTTTTTTTACCGAATAAGAGAAAAATACGAAAAAGTAAAAACATTAGTAAAAAAATATTAGTAAACATTAGCGTCGTTAGTAAAAAAAAAAGTATTAATTACATTTTTTTACTAATGAGACAGCGACGAGTGAAAATCCAATTTTTCGAAAGTTGGCGACATTTTTACTTTTGATGTAACTTATAATTATATATGCACGCAAAAAATAAAAATGTCCAGTTTTTCCATTATATTTGTAACGTCATCAAATGAAAATGAAAATGTACAATATTTCCATTAGATTAGCAACATCATCAAATTAGACCTTCGAGCCAAATAACTAATAACCTGTTCAAATACTGCACATAAGTTATTGATAATTTTTGTTCAAGATAAGGTTACCTGACGTTTGACGCAAACAAAAATTTGTAAAGTGACGTCATCAGTACTAAATAAGGCCGTGAATTTGACTTATAAGCATTTTCAGAATGGCCCTTAAAGTTTTTCTCATTCAGGCCATGAATTATTTAATTAATTTTTGTAATGTTCGCATCATTTGTGATGTGAAAAGTAAAAAAAATGCATTTTTTTGAAAATATATCACGCATCAAAAATAAGTTTGTTTATCAAATTATTACACAATTATTAGTTAATGATTATTTTATATGCTATTCATTATTATTATAACTTTTATACAACCTTATATTATCATAAATTTTTTTTACTATTTGTCATATTGTTCTTTATTTTTGCTTAATGCTTCTTTTGATTAGTAATATTTTTTCTGATTACCAATTTCTTTAAATTACATTAATTGTTGTAGTTAAAAACCAATTTTTTTAATATTACATAAATATGTAGTTAAAAATACTTTATAAAATTTTTGAAGATATTGTGTTATACTTTTAATAGTTCCTGGTGGTTTAAATTTTGAAAATTCAGTAAAAACATCAGAAGTGCGAGCAAGTGAGTTTAACGACCTGCGCTTAGAGTCTTTAACAAAAAAGATTTACATAAATGCAGCCGATGGTGTTGATATAAACTCTCACGGAAGCGACATCAGTTTAAACAGCCTAATGGATACAAAAATAATTTCACAAAAAGGAACGGTAAGCTTTTATTTGCAAAAATGTTTCCAAAATATAAAAATAATTTTACAAAATTTTAAATTGCTTTTTTTGGATAAATTTTTTAAATTTAAGATTGATCGTAAAATATTAAAATTTGGCGAGGTTGTGTGACTTAATTTGAGTCTAACCAAAGCTGTGTAAATAATTAAGAAATGTTCAACTCTAATAGTAAATTTATAACTTTTTATTTGTATCAGGGAGACGATACAATTTTTGTACCCAAATTTTTATTTTTATTCACGTAGATTGTTTTCGATTCTGAAAAAATACAGTTCAAAAATTTACGTCATTCAAGTTTAATAAATCCTCTTGCAGCGGAGGTGTATGGTGATATTGCTGAAGTTTGTATGTGCAAAGACGGTACTTTATTTTTAGCTCCCCCGGATTCAAATAAACCTTGCAAAGTCACAAGTGGTGTTTGTGGCATATAAAATAGACATTATCAAATGTTTTTCTTTTAATGAAGCCTGTATCAGGTCAATTCAACGCGGACTTTCCCGTTTATTTTTCAGTTTTACTGACTCGATTTTCAAAGATATAAAATTTGCGGCAACTGTAAAAAGTATTAAAATATATATTTTGTATATATTGCATAAGATTATTTTTGAAAATTACTTTTCAGAGTGTTTAAATAAAAAACCAAACTAAATAAATTAAACATAATATTTTATTTGTATTGATGTTACCTTGATTAGCCTCTTGGCGCTAATGCCCGTGGTTGTGGGTCGTGCAAACAAAGTTTCTTTTTCAATTCAGCACTATTTCCCTCAAGTAAATTAATTAGTGTCTAAGGTTCAAGCCAAAATTAAATAGTTAAACTACTTTCTTCAAGTAAGTCTGAAAAAAAAGTTTTTATATAATCTAGTAAATTTTAATCAAAAGTTTAATAAGAAAATAAGTTCAAAAGTAAGTCTTAACCAAAATAAAAGTTCTGTTCTTAATAACAATTGACACATTTAACACAATAAAAGTTCTGTTCTTAATAACAATTGACACATTTAACACAATAAAAGTTCTGTTCGTAATAACAATTGACATATTTAATACAATAAAAGTTCTGTTCGTAATAACAATTGACACATTTAACACGATAAAAGTTCTGTTCGTAATAACAATTGACACATTTAACACAATAAAAGTTCTGTTCGTAATAACAATTGACACATTTAACACAATAAAAGTTCTGTTCGTAATAACAATTGACACATTTAACACAATAAAAGTTCTGTTCGTAATAACAATTGACACATTTAACACAATAAAAGTTCTGTTCGTAATAACAATTGACACATTTAACACAATAAAAGTTCTGTTCGTAATAACAATTGACACATTTAACACAATAAAAGTTCTGTTCGTAATAACAATTGACACATTTAACACAATAAAAGTTCTGTTCGTAATAACAATTGACATATTTAACACAATAAAAGTTCTGTTCGTAATAACAATTGACACATTTAACACAATAAAAGTTCTGTTCGTAATAACAATTGACACATTTAACACAATAAAAGTTCTGTTCGTAATAACAATTGACACATTTAACACAATAAAAGTTCTGTTCGTAATAACAATTGACATATTTAACACAATAAAAGTTCAGTTCGTAATAACAATTGACATATTTAATACAATAAAAGTTCTGTTCGTAATAACAATTGACACATTTAACACGATAAAAGTTCTTTTCGTAATAACAATTGACACATTTAACACAATAAAAGTTCTGTTCGTAATAACAATTGACACATTTAACACAATAAAAGTTCTGTTCGTAATAACAATTGACACATTTAACACAATAAAAGTTCAGTTCGTAATAACAATTGACACATTTAACACAATAAAAGTTCTGTTCGTAATAACGATTGACATATTTAATACAATAAAAGTTCTGTTCGTAATAACAATTGACATATTTAACACAATAAAAGTTCTGTTCGTAATAACAATTGATACAATTAACACAATAAAAGTTCTGTTCGTAATAACAACTGACATTACAGGTCAGACAACTTGGGAGGAAGATTTTCTTCTCGTATTTTTTTATTAAATAGTGTATAGTTTATTTTATCTCCATAAAGTGAAAGTTTGTTACCCCGCAAACAATAGTTTACTTTATTCAATATTCATATCCACATATATTTTTTAATATCATTGTTAGTAATAAATAGATTAGTGTCATCCGCAAACATGACTCAAACATGTTTTAAAGATGCATTACAGAAATTATTATATTTAAAATTAAAAACAGAAATGGACGGAAAATTGGTCCTTGCAGAACTCCACATAACACATTTTTTACTTCATATTGAACATCATGCAAGGCTCCAATAGTAAATTTTATTAACTATCCCGTAATGTCTTAATATATCTTAATATAGGATGCAATGATCCACTGTATCAAATGCTTTTGATAAATCAAGAAATACTTCTAAAGTAAATTTATTTTTTCAAAACCATTAGTTATTTGGTTTACAATGATTACAAGTCGAAATCTTTTTTTGAAAACCAAACTTGTGGTAAAATAAATTACTTTTAATGAAGTAATCATAGATTTTATTATAAACTACATGTTCGAAGAGTTTTGAAAATACAGAAAATATTAACATAGGTCTGTAGTTCGAAATGTCAGAATGATCATTACTTTTGTATAATGGAGTTACTGCTAATTTAAGTACATCCGGAAAAATCCCAGAATTTAATGAGAGTTTAAGTATATGTATCAGAGATTAAGACTGTGTTTGCTTGCAATAGCTATACCACTAAATATCTTACTAAGTTCTGCCTTATTTTTTTTTTGTTTAAAAAGATTCCGACCAATATTTATAAAATATTTGTTAAATTCTTCCGATATTAGTTTTTGGATGAATATATGATTGTTCTTAATAACAATTTGTTAAGGTAGAGAAGGTGAGTTTTTTCTTCCCATTAAAGGCAGATTCAGACCATATAGTAAGTGGGAGGGGGAAATATTTTGTTTTTGTTTCGGTGAATCTAGACCATCTGGTAAAAAGAAGGGACAATTTTTTAATTTAGATGGTTAAGGCTATCTTGTAAAGTAGGGGGCGGTTTTCAAGTTTAATAATTTGTGAGAAGGCAACCCCACTAATCATGCAACACTCCAATTTTTATTTTTATTTTTTTTGCACTACGCAATTTTACTAAAACACCTTATCACTTTCAATCAGCCTCCATAATTTACTTTTTGAATTAACACACTTTATTGAATATATAAATATACAAAACAAGTTCTTTCTAAAATATCTAAGGGGGAACGACTGCCTCCATTGCTCCCCCTATGGATCCGCCCTTGCAATCAAGTTTGCTATCAAGTTTGCACTTGCATATATATATATATATATATATATATATATATATATATATATATATATATATATATATATATATATATATATATTTTTTTTTTTTTTCTTTTTTGCATTTTTAATGAGTTCTTGTAAAAAATGTTTGTAATTTTTCTTCCTTACACTTGAAGAAGTTTTACCCAAGAGTGTTACATGTTGCAATCAATTTTTAAAAGATTTTTTTATTATGAGTTGCGAGTAATTGCTTTAAAATCTGTGAATTTGAAAGTTTGATTTTTCAACAGTCTGTTCAATAGGTTTATTTTTTTTCAATAGTCTGTTCAATAGGTTTTTTTTTTTCGAAGGAGACAAGATGAAATTAGCTCTATTTTAAAAAATGAACGCAGAGAGTTTTTACGATATTTTGAGATTTTTTTTTTCAATATATTTCGCTGCTTATATAAAAATAAAATAAAAAATAAAATTGCAATGAAATTTTACGTTACACAAAGAATATATATATATATATATATATATATATATATATATATATATATATATATATATATATATATATATATATATATATATATATATATATATATATACATATATATATATATATATATATATATATATATATATATATATATATATATATATATATATATATATATATATATATATATATATAACAGAAAGGGGCTCAAAGAAGATACGGATGACTGGTGTCACCACAATCTTTTCATAAAGCTCTTTACAATATAGTTTAAATCCCACATGGCTTTAGTAAATTTACAATAAAATATATTTTCTGAAAAGTACTACGTGAAGAATAAAAACTCATATATGCATTATACTCATATATACATATACACATAGATACACAAATACAAACATACTTACATATATGTCAGAAATTAAGGATATGCAATTTCATTTATCGTTTAAAAGAGAAAGTACTTTTCAAATTTTTATTTTGTTATTTTTTAATTGATTCCATAATGATGGGCCTTGGCTAATAATTGAGAATTTTGACACTTGCAATTTTACTCTGCTCAAGTGATGGAGTGGTGATATAGGACGGTAGTTGCAAACAGAAGAACAATCACCATTTTTAAAAACTGGGTGAATTTTGGCTGATTTTAATTTATCAGAAAATATACAATTCTCAAATGAAAATGCTATTAAGTTAAATAATGGTTTCGTTATACTATCCATAGCATAGATAGCTACATTACTGGTAATGTCGTCATATCTACATGACTTGTTACGCTTTAGTTCAAACAGTGCTTCTCTAAATTCATGTTTATTTATTTTTTCATTAGATATGCTAGTCGCATGTTTCTCTCCTAAGTATTCATCAAACACTTTAGCTGACTGAACAATGTTAGATGCAAGAGAGGCGCCTACATTAACAAAATATTTGTTAAATTCTAGACATATTTTTTTCACTTGTTATAGTTTTGTTGTTAATAATTACTTATTTTGGTAAGCAAGAGAGTTTTTTTTTCTCTCTTCCAGTTTCTTCATTTATAATAGACCAAGCTTTCTTGATTTTTATCAAGCTCCTATTTTTATATCCTATTTTTATCCAGCTGGTTAGAATATTACTTTATTTTATCTTGTTTTAAGTTATTTTGATAAAACTTTTTATAAGATTTGTACTCATTTTTGTCATTTTTCTGTTTAGATTTTTAAAATTTTATATAAAGTTTTTGTTTGCTTTTTGATGATTTTATCAAATTATTTGTCATCCATGGGTTTTTTAGTTGTTTGTTTTTTATTTCAGTGGTTAATTTTAGGCAGATATTGTAAACATTTTGAAAAGTATTCAAAAAATTATCAAACGTGCTATTGGTGTCTGCAGAGGAATAGACATCTTTCCATTGCTCTTCGTACAGCTTATTTTTGAGTTTATCTAGGCTTTTAAAACAAAGATTTCTATTAGTAAAAAATATTTTTTTATTGCTGTCGTTATTGCTGAGATACAAAAAATGTTGTTATTGCCGTTATTGTCGTTATTGCCCTACAAAAAATGTCGTTATTGCCAAAAAAAACGTTATCGCTGAGTTAAAATTTATTATTATTGTTATATTGTCGTTATTATATAATTATATTGTCGTTATTACATTATTATATTATTAATATATTATTATATTGTCGTTATTGCCGATTTAAAAACAAAAAAATGTCGTTATTGCCGAGATACAAAAAATGATTTTAAAACTGCTCTCTAAAAGCGTCTGATATCAAAAAAAAAAATTTTTTTGTCAACCTGATACGCAGAACTAAATTCTAGT